CTACAATCTTTCTATCTGCTGTCGAAATCACATGTTTGCCAGTTGCTGACGGTGGTGGGCTGCTTGCCTTCAACAACTGACATCGTCGTCGCCGTCGTCAGTCAGTCAGTCAGTCAGTGACAGGCTAACAAAGAGGACAACGGTCCTGTATCTTCAATCGATCCGGTGTGGTGGTGATGGGGTGGTGGACTGGCTGGCTGGCTGGATGGCTGGTTGCCAGGATACCGCCGATTTTCTTTTTGCTTTTTGCAGCTTGAGCCGCCTCNCAGCAGCCACTTGGGCGAATTTGTGCATTCGCTCCCCGGTAGAGGGAGCTCTTGGCTGTGTTTTGTGTTTAATCGCCGGCGTTTTGTTTTTGCTGATCAGGACTTTACTTTGTTTCTGCCCACCTTCTTCAAACTTCCAAACCCTGCTGAAATGGATTCCCTGGTCGAGTCGGTGGTCCAGCTGCCCTACCATGTTCTAGTGGTGCCCAATCTGAAGCTGAAGCGTCCCGGGTGGCTGCAGCTGCCGCAGCCGATGACCGTCTTCAGCATGGTCCTCTTCTCCTACTTTTTAGTCTGCGGTGGTAAGTGCTCCTATTTTCTATCGTTTCTGTTGTTGAATCCAGTTGACGATAGTTTGACCTTCCACATCCAGGCCTCATCTACGACGTGATCATCGAGCCGCCGGCGATCGGCTCGACGGTGGACGAGCACGGCCACTCCCGTCCGGTCGCTTTCATGCCGTATCGCGTCAACGGCCAGTACATCATGGAGGGCCTGGCCTCCAGTCTCTTCTTCACCCTCGGCTCACTGGGCTTCGTCATCCTCGACAAGACCACCAGCCCCACCACTCGCCTTAATCGGATGTTCCTCGTTTCCATTGGCTTCGCCCTCATCATCGTCTCTTTCTTCACCACCTGGATATTTATGCGAATGAAGCTGCCGTAAGCTTGGATCTCTCATTTCTAAAATGACGTTATCATCACTAACTTTTCTTTATTTACTTTAGTGGCTATCTTCATTAACTATGAAGCACCCTCACACGCACACAAACTGTGAATTGTATTATAAAACTGTATTAAACTGTTTCCAACTGTTCTGTTTAGGAGGTGGAGAAGCCCTCTGAAATCTTCTCAATGGTGAAGCGGCGAATCTCCTGGGGCGTCATCGCCATGTGAAATTCATTCTCGAAGACGTTGCCAATCTCTGCGGCCATCATCGAGTCGAGGCCCAGGTCGCCGAGGGTGGCCTTCGGGTCGAGCTTCGCCTTCTCCTTGATGCCCATGATGTTGCAGACGTGGTCCAGTAGCGAGATCTTCAGCTGCAGNGAGCAGCGAGATCTTCAGCTGCAGATTGTCCATGCTGTCCTCGACGCGGATGAAGGAGCCTACCACGGAGTGCGCCGTCTGCATCGCCCGGTCCATGAAGTTCCAGCAGC